GGGGGGGGGGGGGGGGGGGGGGGGGGGGGGGGGAGGGGAGTCACCACTACCCCGCTCATGCGTACCGCTTGTCACCCGGGTTGCAGCCCCCACAAAAAAACGTGTGTTGATAGGTGTTTTCGCCACAAATTTATGACGGTACGGAGACCCTACGGGGCTCTTTTTCCATCGGGACCAACCGGCAGTCATTCCTCAACAACGCTGGCTGTAGTTGCGATCCAATGTTGCGCCACCATTTGAAAAGACCCTGTTGAGGTGTGTGTCATCTTCGCGTTGACACCGTTGAAGGCTTGTGTCAGGTGCTCTACCGACCTGGGTAACGCCGGCAGGAGGTGGTACAGCGTCTTGGGAGAAATCCAAACAAAATTGGAAGTATACATGTGGGGGGTTGTTTGCTCGATATAGGCGATAGAGCGCTTCACTGGAACGACCCTCATAGTGGCGATCCGAAGTTGCGCCACCCTCTCAAATACTACCGATGCCTAGGTCGTCCACTCTGGCGAAGTCTCGAGCGAGTTCGTCAACTCTTCCTAGCTGAGTAGCTGGGTGAACTTTGGTGCTGAGAGCCGCGAGACGGGCTGGAAGCAGCAGCTCTTTTCACTTTTCATCGCACCGTACTCGCCAGGTCTCGAGCGAAACCAGGTCAAAACCAAATGTCTGCGCGTGTAGAACATGACATGCTTGAGGTATCCTGCTGGTTTCGCAGCACGTAGCCATCTGTGTGGGAAGCACCAGCGGTGACAAAGGTGTGCACCAGATGGTGCCATAGAGCAACAAATCCTGGGGGCTCCCGCGGGGATACCATCGATGTTCCCGGAGCCCTGATGGCTTTTTTTTTTTTTCATTTTATGGGAGCTGCAACCCGGGTGTTGTAGTGTTTCGGCCATATGTCTCGCATCCTTGTAAAGCCTGGATGGCGTTCGCCAGCTTTTTGCGGGCAAGGTTCGTGAAGCAGCACGATCGAAAGCACTGCGGAGGGCTGAGTGGGGGTAATCAGAGTGGTTTTGCTATATGCTGTTCGTGATCATCATCGATGAATTATTCGAGCGAAGCGAAATCTCTAATCTCGCCTGAAATATACCGCTCCAGGTAGGGAAAAAAAGTTTGTACGTGCGTGTGTCTGTTCGCGTTAACTTGGTTTTAGAGTACAGGGGTCAGCATTTGCACTTTTGTTTTGGGAGCACACTGTCAGCGGATTGCAGCAGAGAACACACGCACTGCGGGACTGCGGGCAACACCACAGAGCAGACAACACACGCACAGCAGACAGCGTACGCATAACAGGCGACACACACGCACGGCGGGCGACAGCATCTGGGCTCGATGCCGCTGGACTCTCTGTGGTGTGATGAGGCTATGTATTGCTGTATGTCGCGCATGTTTTTTTTTGCCGCCGCGTGCAACTGCGAGCAATGTTAGCACAACACCACATTATTAGTTCTCGAAACCTAGGACGCCGATCGCCATCGCACCACTTCGAGCGTGTTATCCATTGTGATGTCTCTGGGCGTGACAGCTGTGTTGGGCATGGGTGCTGTATGTGGCGAGAGCATCGTGGCGATGTGAAATTCGGTTTGGCTTTTTCACCTGGCGATGCGGCCCGATTGCCCGGGGCAAAAAAACGATTTGGATTCCACGTCGCCGCGAAGGTCTTCCCACACACAGCAACCATTCCCAACACGACTGTCACGCCCCGATAGCTCGCAGTGGAGCACACGCTCGAAGTGGTGCCATGACGATTGGTGCGCTACGTGACGAGAACTGACTCGTGTCCTGCTGTTTCGCTGGCAGTTTTGGAAAAACACCAAACAAATAAGAGGGAACAGGGAGTTCAGCACTAGTATGCGGCGGGTATGTATGACCACGAAAGCGGGATGTGGATGGGGGGGGGGGGGGGGGGGGG